CTTAATCTTTAAATTGCAAGTTAATTTATCATTTATTGTTATATTCCATATTTCTTTGTACCATTCTTCAATTTGCAATTCAGTTTTTAATTTCCATTGTCTAGCAATAATCAATCTAGCTGCTGTTAATAAATTAGTTATCAATTCTTTAGTCATTTTGTCATATTCCACATTCTCATATATTGATAACAAAGCAATCTCAGCATTACATTCTATAGCTTTTCCACACATATAGCTTAATTCTTTGAAAATTTGTTTCCAAAATCTTTGCACTTTTTCACATTCCCACCACATATGAAAGTATGTACCAACTTCTTTCTCACGTTTCCAGCAAACATTCGGATGATTGGTATTAATTTTGTTTAATTTTACCGGTGTTAAATACCATCTTAAACTGAGTTTAAAGAAATTTTCCCTTATTCTTACCGACATAAATCTTAAAACCCTCATTTTCCATATCTTCCTCCACAGTGTGGTAACAAGACACTGGAAAAAGAATAAATGAAGAACAACCTTCCTTTTTACTTGGGGAAAAATGCTTGTTTTTAATAGGAACACAGTACTTGGTATGAAAGACTCAGATTTGGGTCTAGGACCCAAAACCTTGCCGACATTCCTGTTATTTATTCTTGTCTTCATTCATTTACTTACTCATTTACTTTATGTGTTTGTGGCTTTGTTTCATTTATTATTTTGCTTTCGATGGCGATGGGGCGGGCACTCTGGGTTTTGTTATATTGTAAGACTGCCTGTTATATTGTAAGACGTGGTGGCGCTGCAGGCTAAACCACAGAAGCCTGTGCTGCAGGGTTAGAAGACCAGCAGTTGTAGGATCGAATCCACATGATGGAGTGATCTCCCGTCGCTTTGCCCCTGCTCCTCGCCAACCTAGCAGTTCGAAAGCATGTAAATGGAAGTAGATAAATAGGTACCATCTCGGTGCGAAGGTAAAATGGCATTCCCTAGTCACGCTGGCCACGTGACAATGGAAAACTGTCTTCGGACAAGCGCTGACTCTACGTCTTGAAAAACGTAATGAGCACCGCCCCCTAGAGTCGGACACGACTGGACTGAAAATGTCAAGGGGAACCTTTACTTTTACCTTTACCTTTAAGACTTCCCAGAGTAGTGGAGTGGTATATAAATGTCAGAAATCAATAAAACATGGTGCTTGTGCTCATAGGCGGAGATTCGCAGCATGGACCGTATGGTTCTTAGTGCAAGTCTAGATGAAAATGATGTCTGCATTCAATGCTGTCATTTTGTTGTACTGTCCTGTCTCTCCTTGGGGAAATGAGGCTTTGCTCTCTCTCTCTCCTCTCAGGTTATGATTGAAGACATTGGCAACAAGTGTGTGTATGAATTCCCATGCAAACGTTGGTTTGCTCTGGATGAGGATGATGGCAAAATTCAGCGAGATATCCTGGTGAATGGAACGGAGGCTACAGGTAAATGCATCTGAGATTACAGACAGAGGAGTTAAAGCTAAGCTGAATGTGGCTTAAAGATGGATCACTCAAGGGAACTAATGTACGGCTTTCAATAAGAAGTGAAAACAAAGAAAGCCACATCTTATGAAACTAACATTGTTTAATTAAAATATGTGCATTTTAATAACCCTGCATAGTTTGACATTTCCCCAGCTCGATCTAGGTAAATCCTGCGTGGGACAGATGCCATTCATTCTAGGCTTATTTCTGTAATGACTAATCATGGTTTATTGTTATGTGTGAAACTAGCCAAGTACAAGCTTAAGGTCTCAAAGTACAATCTGAAGCTCTTAGAGTTCATCACTAAACTGGTTAAGAATCTTCAAGGAACAAATACACTAACTATACATAGGATAGTTTTGAACCTGGCCCAAATAGGACTTCCGGCCAAATTGGCATGGGGGAGGGGAATGGGATCATGATTTTGTGGCATTTGTCCGGAAGGAGAACATTTGTTGTGTTAGGAGAAATATCCTCCCAAAACATAAACTGGAATTCTGTTGGGAGGGAAAAACATGCATACAATAGTAATCTTACAAGTAGAGAATCCTTCACAGATCTGGTCACACAATTGTTTTGCATGATGGATTTCCCCACCAGTTCCTGACTCATCACACAACAGAATCCCAGCAAAGACAATGGGCAGGAGGGGAATCTGCTTACATAATAACTACTACTGTGTGCATGTTTTTCCTCCCTATTTCATTCCAGGATGCTGGGGTGGCATCTCTGGCTTGATGGAGGTGTTTGAGGGAGTGGGTAGGGACGAAACAGCTTTCCTCAACTGCCCAGGCTTGCTGGAGGACTCGTCGCTCAAAACAACACATCTCAAAGCTCTGATCAGCATCCTTTTCTGCTGGTGCCCCAGCATCCTGCACCAGGATTGTCCCTCGTCTTGTCACAAAACAGACAAAACTAAGGAGCTCTGTGGAGCAGTTCTAGAGAACAAGCTGCCTCTTGTTGAGTCAGAATCTGGAGTGGCATGCTCGTGTCCCTCTTTTAGAAGATTATTATGGTCACAACGCCCTCCTGAGCGCCTTAGGCTTCTTTTTGCAAAGGACAACAGTGCTCTGAAGGCTGCCGGGAACTTCCTGCCACTTGGTGAAAGGGGTGGAGTAAACCTGCCATATGCTATTCTGGGCTTTTGGGCATCTGAGCAAGCTGCATGCCTGCTGGTAGGGATGGTGCTTAATCCAGCCTTCTGATGGTAGAGTCATAGACTCCATGACGTGAGTCACCCTTTCTTAAACGGTTCAATTATTTATGTGGGCGAGCAGAGAGAAAAGTGCCAACGAATTCCAATAGGGTTGGTTTTGCATTCCAAAAGTCTTGGCTGAATTCTTTCTGAAGTCATGGGGTTCTTCCCGAGGATCAGCTCAATGCTGCTCTTCCTTCTTGCCTGGTTTAATTAGAGCCCCAGCAAACAAATGGCTTGCCACCCTGATGAGTAAATAAGTGCCTAGGAGCTTTAGCAGATGGCCACGGTTGAGATTGGAATCTTTTCTGGCTGCTGTGTGTAACCTTGGTGGTGTTGCTTTTTCTAGAACAAAGAAATCTATATGCAGTCATAGAATGGTAGGGTTGGGAGGTACACCAAAGACCATCTACCCCATCCCTCTGCCAGTGCAGTCATTCACAGCTAAAGCATCCTTGATAGATGGGTACCAGCCAGCCTTTCTTTAAAAACTTCCAATAAGGGAGAGTCTGCCACTTTCTGATGGATAGCTCTGAACACAAGAAGAAATCTCTTTTTGCTTTGCTTTTTCTTGAATTTTGTCCAATTAAGGGAGCCATCTCTGGAACTGATGGGGACTTGGAGGGCCTGGGAACAAACATTGTATTGATTTAAATTTTATTTATTTAAAATATTTTTTCCTGGCTTTTCTCCTGAAAAAGGACCGGAGGCAGCTTATCATGAGGCAATATTTAAAAGCTAAAAAGAGTAAGCCGATAAATATTCAAAAAGGATTAAATATTATATCAAAAACGGGAAATAAAATCAACACCAAAAGCACATTTAAAAGGAACAAGGTGCAACAATCCATTTAAAAAGGCAGCCAGTGGCTGCGGGAAAGTTTGACTGAGCAGAAAAGCTTTAATTTGCTTACGGAAGGACAGCCAAGATGGTGGAAAAGACCCTGATGTTGGGAAAGTGTGATGGCAAGAGGAGAAGGGGACGACCAAGGATGAGATGGCTGGACAGTGTCTGCGAAGCAACCAGCATGAATTTGACACAACTCCGGGAGGCAGTAGAAGATAGGAGGGCCTGGCGTGCTCTGGTCCATGGGGTCACGAAGAGTCGGACATGACTAAACGACTAAACGAAACGAAATTGTGCCCAGAAACGAATTAGCAGCCAGTGGAGCTGCTGTAATAAAGGAGTTACGTGATCCCTGTAACCAGCCACGGTTAAGAATCAGCTGCAGGGTTTTGGGCTCACTAAAGTTGCCTATGCTATTCCAGAGGATGACACTTCCAGTCCATGACATTTAGAATCAGCTGTAGGGTTTTGGGCTCACTAAAGTTGTCTACCTTATTCTAGAGGATGACACTTCCAGTCCATGACATTTCCCCACCTCTTGAAGCATCACTACATGGAGTGGGAGGGTTATATCAAGAACAACATCAAAATCTTATAAAAACATCAATAAAATGAATGGGTTTCGCAGCTGAAGAGCAAGTAGCAAAAACAGTGGCCAATATCCTATATTCTGTGTGATCATATAAGGGCAATTGTGCCACTATTCCCTTCCTACCTCCATGATATTTGTGATTATGCGTATCTGTTTTGAAAAACAAGGAGACTGATCCAGGGCGCTGCAGGAGGCCCGAGGCTACCTAGGAATCCCAAGAGATCATGAGATGGCTGGTGTAGGAGGACATTCGGCTGGGCAGGGGGGCCCTTTCCAAGGTCTACTCATTCCATGACCCCAGGGGATGTCCGGGCAGCCTTGGGACTCCTACAATGCACTGGGTCAGACTCCTTGTTTTTCAAAGCAGATGTAGGTGGTCAGGAATATACTGGAGGCAGGGAAGGCCCCCTGGAAGCCTTCTGCTTTTTCGGCCGTCACTCCCATAATTCTGTGTGGCAAGTTCTGGGTGAAATCTGGGAACGAGAATCCAACCCAGACCCTCTAAAAGTCCCATCTTTAACCAGTCCCTCCACCCCTGTATTATGACTGGGTAGAAAAATTGGCTTCACCAGCCCTTTTGCGTGTTCTAGGTGCCACTTGGGACCATTTTGCCATATTTTGAAGAACTGCAGATCCCTCAAAGATGTTTCTTCTTATTATTATTTTTAATTTCACCACTAGAGCAAGCAAGAGATTTTTCCCCCCCAGTCCTTCAAGGTTCAGGAACGGAACAGTTCCTGGAGCTATACAGATTATCCCCTCCTGCAATTATGCCTTGCTGCCACTGGTGGGTCATAGATAAGGGTCTCCCCAGCAGATTTCAGTGCTTTGATAGGTATATTTAGGGAGAAGTGTTCCTTCAAGTATCAACTTCTCTGGCCATTTAGAGCTTGACATGTTGCTTCCATAGTGGTAGTTTCAACGTTATGTTCCAGACTGTCCTTCCCCCCACCTGCATTCACCACGTGAAAGGTTTTGACTCCTGATAGGTTGCATAGTAGAACTATCCACTCCACCCTAACCTTTAAAAACCTGTATTAAACTTGTCTGGTGCTTACTTTGGGTTCTGCCCAGTGTAGGATAAGGGTAAACAGGACGGCCTCTTATCTGACATGGCTGAAGATGAGCATCCGTGCAGTTCCGTTCGGACCCCTTATTTATTCATCCTGCTCAGTCTCACACACAGCTGCTGGCAGTGTCATTTGAACAGCGATTCGGGTCTCACTTTTCTCCCGCGGTTGTTAAATAAAGACCCTCCCTTCTGAAAGATCCCTGCTGGGGCCTTTCAGAGTTATATACAATTTAACGAGGTGAAACCTCCGCAGAATGAAAACTACCATATTTACAGGATGCTTTAAAACAGCCAAAGTCCTTGCAAGGACAAGCTGTGCGTGTGTGGATTATGTTTTAGCCTGGGTTGCTGTAAGAAGAAGCAATGGCTAGTTAGCTCTGCTTTTGAGGTCGACTGCAAGTCTGTCTTAAAAGTCTAAGCAGTCCTAGCATCATAGAAATGTAGAGCTTGAAGGAATCCTACGTGTCATCTGGTGCAGAGTTTTGAATTCCAGGTAAATTTTGCTTTGCTATGCAGTAGAAGGTACAGAGACTTGCAGAGGAGAATAGCTAGGAGTTACCCAGATAGTCCTCCTCTTTCTTGTTAGCCGGCATTTAAAATCTCAATGACTCACTCTGAGACATTTGTAGGATGTTGCTAGAAATGACAGACTTGTGAATGCCACTTTCTTTACTGACCATATACTTAGCAACCAACTGAACAGATCAACAGCAAATAAACAACTCTTAACAGACAAAAGAGAGGGGGGAAAGAAAGCTCAGCAGAGAGGCAGGGCTCTCTTGGAATTCAAAGGTAGGAACGATTAGTGTTGGATAAACAGACAGTAATCTCAGCCCAGAAAAGTCCCTCTCGGTTACACAAACGAAAGACAGCGTGTGAGATTGGAAACAAAATTCTAGCATCATCTAGTCCAATGCCCTTCCAATCCAGGAATTATATTTTAAAAACCCCCAAAGGCCTTCCCTCCACACCAGAGCACAGGAGAGATAATCAGTCCTGTAAGATTCTTACAGAGGAAAACTCAGGTCTCTTTCCAGATGGTTAGATCAGGGGTCAGGGAACTTTTGTACCTTCCCCCCCCAAAAAATGTATATAAACCAACATTACCCCCTTGATTTGAAAGGAAGGAAATGATACAGTATTTGATGAAGGTGACAGCAGCCACGAAATTCAAAGATGCCTGCTTCTTGGAAGGAAGGCAATGATAAACCCAGACAGCACCTTAAAAAGCCACCCTTCCCCCCCTGCCTTAATTCAGTTTCTCTTTTGCTTGACTGCCTGTTCATTTTCAGTTGTGAACACACACACACACACACACACACACACACACATCCGCCCACCCTCCCTCCCTCCATCCATTTAAATAAGCTTGATGAAGCTCTCTGTCTCTCACGCCTTCCTTCCCCTCGTTAACTTGATCCTTTCCTGCCTCTTCCTTGCTTGCATTCATTTCCGGAGGAAGCAGTTATTCAAAGCTCCAGATTGATTGATTGCTTGGGGTGATTCCACAGCTGTAGCCAATTAAGCAGGCTTATCTCTGATCTCTGAATGAATGGAGGATTTGCAAGTGCCTGCTGCAACCAGGAAGTAACAGGGAGAGGTGGCTTACAATTTGAGGTTTGGCTGCAGAGGGTGGGGGGAGGGAGGGGGTAGCGCTCTGCTCATTACCCCCAGGATTTTCACTTTTATCCCATTTGGGGTAATTTATCCCTGTTCCCCAACCACTGGGTTAGATGTACTGCTTTACTTTTCCTCTTTTCTATCCCTTGGTGCTGAAAAAATGCAGAGTTTGCCAGGATTTGTATCCAAGCTATTGTCTACTAGACCGGAGATGGCACAGCACTAATATGAAACCCAGTAAGCTTTCCTTCAGGGGGCTTCTGCCTGCCAGGAGTGTGGTCTCATCTCCTGCTGCTCCACGTCAACATGAGTGAGTTTTCGGTGACAGAGAACTGAAAGCTTCCTACCTGGAGTCTCCCACTGGAGACTTGCAACTGGGAAGTGCAAAACCTCCACTCTTAAATAAAGCAATGCAAAAACAAAACAAAAACCCATGGGTTTTGATGGGAGGGGAATAGTCTGGGAACCTAGGGGGCAAGGGGAGAACAGGACTAATTAAGATAAGAAGAATGTCATCTGGATGTCAGAGGAATCTCTTCCACAATCATGATCATAATTTAAAGGAATGCAAATCCTGTGCTAGGAATTGTCCTCTGGTTTCAGTCTCTCTTTATTCAGTGTTTCCATTGCTGGAAGATTAGATGGAAAGGCATTCCTCATTTTCCCATAGTTGTGGTGGAACCATGCAAGCTTTTAGACCAAGTGCGTCATGCGAAGCTGGTGAGCCACATATTTTCAATAGATCAGAACCTGAACAGCTGTGGTTCCCAACCTTGGGTCCCCAGATGTTCTTGGACTAAAACTCCTAGAAGCCTTCACCGCTAGGTATGCTGGCCAGGATTTCTGGGAGTTACAGTCCAGGAACATTTGGGGACTCAAGGTTGGAAACCACCGTTCTGTGCAGTGGCAGATGACTTTGTTCTGCTTTTCATGGCCTCTAGTAGGTGGGGACCAAGGTCAACAATGCTTTCTAGTCATGCAAATGAGGCCCTTTTCCTTCCGAGAAAATGCGAACAACAACAACAATGTACCGTCTTTGTTATCTTTCACTTCCCTGAGCCACTGGAAGTTCTGATGCCAGGTTTTTACAGACGAGATGCTACAAAAATTAAGGGATATATTTGGTGTGATAGGAAAAGTATGCAATAAGTCCTGAAATGAGAACCGGTATATTAACCACTGTGTGACTTTGTCACTGCAGATTGGAGACTGCAAGCCTAGGTGAGGAGAACAGGCATTAAAATGTCAATTTTCAGCTTGTTGAGATTCTTAGTTAAAGGATCCTCTCCATTCCCACTGACCAGAATGCTAGCGAAGGGTTAGACCGCTGCTCCACGATTACCTCTACTGAATTTCACAAACTCTACCTTAGGTTAGAGAGGAGGCATAGCGTCATATGGCTGCCTCTGTTAAAGGCCAAGCTGCTTGATTAAATTTAAGTGCCATGGTAAGTTAAAAAAGGTAAAAAAAGGTAAAGGTTCCCCTTGACAATTTTTTGTCCAGTCGTGTTCGACTCTAGGGGGCGGTGCTCCTCCCCGTTTCCAAGCCATAGAGCCAGCGTTTTGTCTGAAGACAATCTTCCGTGGTCACATGGCCAGTGCGACTTAGACACAGAACACTGTTACCTTCCCACTGAGGTGGTCCCTATTTATCTACTTGCATTTGCATGCTTTCGAACCGCTAGGTTGGTGGGAGCTGGGACAAGCGACGGGCGCTCACTCCGTCACGTGGATTCGATCTTACGACTGCTTGGTCTTCTGACCCTGCAGCACAGGCTTCTGCGGTTTAGCCCGCAGCGCCACCACGTCCCTCTTAAAAAAGGTAGCCACCCAATATCCACCGTGGCAATTCCTCCTCTATATTCTCTGCATCAAACTTATTTCCAGGTATGGTTTATAACGTTGCCGTGGTGACGGGGGACATCCGAGGAGCCGGTACGAACTCCAAGATCCATATTGTCATGCATGGCTCTAAGGGGCTGAAAAACAGTGGGAAGATTTTCCTGGAGGGAGGCGAATTTGAACGCGCTCGGACTGACCTTTTTAACATCGAGATTGCCGCTCTGCTGAGCCCCCTGAGTCGCGTCTCGATCGGGCACGACAACGCTGGTGTCAGCTCCGGCTGGTATTGTGAAAAGGTGAGAGCAGGGCACTTAACGCCTCTAGGAAACTGTCCAAACCTTTTTGCGGTTTGTATTCTGACCAGAGTGACCTGGGAGGTGTGAAAGGCGAAGCTGCCACTCTGCCATTCGTGACCCTGTCTGATTAGCTAGTCAATATGATGTAATAACATCGCCTCCAAATCTGATTTCGCCTAATACATGCTGTGTGATACCCAATCTTGTGCAAAAAATCGACGGTATGCTTATTAGTTGGTGGCTCCCTGGCAGAGACAGTGGAGAAAGCAGTGGGCAATCATGTTTTAATGCATCCTTAGAACGATGCAGAAGAGATACTAATAGGATGGATCAAGTTCCCATCGATTTGTCTGGAAGAGCGATCATTTCCCTGTTGAAACCGAGGCGTGTGCTCTTCCAAGAGCTTGGAAATGCTCCCTCGTAGGACGACAAATCCCCAAACCCCCGAGTCAGTCTGCCCACAGGTCATGCTGAGAGGGGTTTTCTAGACAATGAAGTTCATTCGTGCAGCATTTCCAGATTCTGTTTTTTTTTCCCTCCCTCAGCTTGCTGTAGGTGGTGCTTCTCAGGCTCACTTCAGCTTCTATAAGTCTGGGAGGATTAAAACAGGAGGAAGGGGGAACAGGCTGGTTGCAAGAATTTCAGGGCCCAAAATCAACAATTCTGAGATATGGACTAGGGAACACCTGTAACCCATGATGCATTTTAACTGCTCGTTCCAGAGGAGAATGGAAATATGGTAGGGTCCCCAT